AGCAACAGTTTCATTGCCAGTCTAATGCAAAATTAAAAGAACAAAAATGTCATGTACCAAACATGCAAATGCCATGAAACGGAACAACTCCATGTATTTATTTGTAATTGGTCTATTTAAATAAAAGGTCGACCAGAAAATTAACAAACACTTTGAATTGGTTTCCATCAATTTCATTCAGTGAACCTTTTTTTTTCCAATAGGGATCACAGTGACGTTCAAATATGAATAACACAGTTCTCGCACCGCTCACTGTGGGTTTAGAAGTTGACAGTGACATTTGTGTATGCATCGCAATATATTATTTTATACAGAAGAAATTTATCGTTAAATATAGAGTCAAAACTCTTTTGCGTCGACTCCAGTATAGTTTTTTTTTCAAGCAATAAAAATACAGGCAAAAATGTCTGAGGGTGAAGCATCAACATCATATGGTAAATATAAGAATTTATTGAGAGAAGAAGAGAAAATTAAGAACATTTTCTGTTTGATGAACAGAGCGTAAATACGTCAAACCGGTGCCATCTGTCGAATCGATGCGGGATATGGCTCTTTGGAAGAAATCAAACGCTTATTATGATATCATTAGTTTCATCAGCATGATAAATGAGGCAGTTCAAGGAAAGAAATTGAGCACAAAATTGATACCGTCACCAATTGCAGATAATTTACTACATATCTTCGATGCTTTGAATAAAATGATAGATGAAACACCACAAACACTCGGCAACCAAGCCTATCGTGATTGGTTTGAAAAGATGAGAAGTGACTCAACGGAATTACTAAAAAAAGAATTACCAGTGATACCTCATCATGCACTCATTGAAGTCAGCAAATATTTTATTGAATCATTTGGTAATGCGACACGAATTGACTATGGACCCAGTCATGAATTGGCATTCATCATGTTTTTGTGTGCACTTTATAAAATCCATGTATTGGACGAAAGTGATAATTTATGTGTTGGATTGAAAATATTCAATGCATATTTACAAGTTGTACGTCGATTGCAGTTAACATATAGCATGGAAACCGCTGGTAGTCATGGTGTTTCAAGCATGTATGACGATCAATACTTACCATTTATTTGGGGAAGCGCTCAGCTTTGTGCAAAGGAACCGTTCGAACCAAATCGTTCGCTTGAAACCAATGTCATCAGGCGATTCAAAAATGAATACTACGTCATTGGATGTATTGATCACTTTCGACAGGTTGAGCCACGCAAAATGTGCTTAAAAATTTCGTTGAATTCGATTCATGGAATTTTAATTTTTATTTCATAAACAGGTGAATACTGATAGTTTTGCCGAATATTCAAATCCGTTGTGGAGCACAAGCAGCGTTTATTCGTGGGTAAAAATAAATTCCATTCTCATCGAGAATTATGAAAAAGAGGTAAATGATGGAATATTACACAGTTATTTTGCATAAAACATTTTTAGACATAGTTTACGATTTTTATTTCAAGCAAATTGAGTCAATTGAATTCCAATTTGTTAACCTAGAAAAAATAAAATGAAAACGAATCCTTTCTCTATCGCAGTTGCTTGCAGAATTCCCTGTGATTCAACATGTGCTGTTCGGATCAATTTTAGAATTGAAGGAAATTTCAGTGATCGATCAAATCAAAAAAATGAAAATCGAAATGAAAAACGAAATGAAAAACGAAATCAAAGGGATGCATCAGCAACTCAACAAACCGACAACGATTTGGGAAATGATTTCATCTCAATTGGTATGGCTCTTCAGCCTGGTATGTTCTGGATGGTTTTCAAACCATACAGCGCTTATTCTTTGGTTTGCATGGTGTTTCAACTTTGCCAAATCTTCTTCGAACAACTTATCAATACTCTCATTGACCAAATCTTCATTATAACGCAAGGAATCTGTATCATTGTACCATCTCCAATTTTGACCAGACTTATCACCGTGGACTCCACCTAACACATATACGTCGTGTCGCCGTTGTTGATTGACTATTTCGGTGACAGCTGTCATAATTTGATCTTCGCTTACTGGTGTATTAAATGTATATATATATTGACCTTTTCGTGGCTTTTTATACAATTTATATGACATTTTAAGCCTTATTTAACGTGCCGAAATAAGAGAGCGTTACCGTTTGACAGGTTCTGTTGAATCAAAATTGTCGGAAAATAATGAAACACTTGGTTCGCGTGAAATTATAAACTATGAAAATCCTTGAAAGCGACCCCAAAAACCTCCCGAAATGAAGTTTTTGATGAGAACTTAGAAAAAAAAAATCACTCAAAATTTCAAAAAAATCGATTAAATTCGATAAAATGACTATTTTTGAACCAAAACTAGGAATCTAGGTATTCAATATGTCAGAAATTTTCTTATCTTTTCATTTACTAAAACCAAATCATACCTTTTCTTGGAAAATTACCATTCGGAAATATACCCAATACTTTAGTGCTAACTCCGGCTATGAAACTCGGTTTACAAAAAAAATCGTTTATCGGTCAATTTAATCGTTTCATGTGAAAATATCCATGAATACAAGGAAAAAATTCTTCTACGCCAAAGATTTTGAATTGTGTATTCATCGTTTAAAATGGAGTACAAAATTCTTAGAAAAACCGAAAAAATTCAATAGCTTGACTAAGAATTTACCAAAAAGTACGATGTAGGTATCAGAAATGTTGGAAAATTTGTTGTCTTTTTAAACATAATGGAATTTTGTCAATTATTGAGAAAAAAAAATTCTGAAATATTTTTCCAAATATTTTTCCCCCCTTGGAAATAGATTTCGGAAAAAAAAATTCTCCATGCCGCCGTTTATAGAGAGGAGATAAACAACTAGTGTCTGAGGCAAAGTTGAAGATCTACGTAATACAAAAGCAGCTATGTTCTAAAAAATACTAAAATGTTCTAAATGTGTACTAAATCCTTTAAAGCGGTTTTTTTCCTACTAAAACGGATAGAATACTACTCCTCACCCGACAAATGTTAATGCTTGATTGTGGGGCAAAAGTTCTTTAAGAATAGATGTATTACATTTCACCCTGTGAAACCTCACACCGCTGAAAAATAAATACTTCAAAGAAAATAGTTTCCGTGAGCCCCAACAAAGTGAGTCGTGCAACTTACCACTTTGTGATGTAGCGACGTCGGCGGTGGCAGTGGAAATCAAATAAAAAACTTTACTAAAGTCAATGCTCGTGCCGAAAGCGAACACAAAACAGCTGATATCAATTTAAAAAAAAATCATTTCGGAGCGATGTATAACCTAGTTAGATGAATGCAAAATAGGCGAATTAAAATCGCTTCGGAATGATTTTTAAAATTGATATTAGCTGTTTTGTGTTCGCTTTCGGCACGAGCATTGACTTTAGTAAAGTTTTTTATTTGATACAATAAACAAGAAAAAGCAAGTAATCAATATGCGATTATTGGCAATTTGATGGTGTGTACATAATTTATTTCATCATTATTTGAGTGGAAATCATAGTTCGTTAAAATCATTTCCAAATGGATTTTTGTCAACAGCAATTTGATTTTCTTTTTCATTCAGCGCTCACAATTTGCAAACGCTGTCAACAAATCATATATTTTTATATCTCTCCACTTCGCTCCCACATACACAGTAATTAAATTTAAAGTCGGTTATGATTTCTTCAGTAGTCGATGTTGATCGATGAAGAAACCGGAGACGGCCACACGTTTTTTTGTCAAGAGACAAAGGATTAAAAACTATTTTTTGGCGCATTGATTAGCGATTTAAGATGTTGTGCACTTATTTGTCGTAAGTGCATCTGTTTTAAATTAAATAAAAAATATGAGCATAAAATTCAAATTCACCATAATTTGTTTCATCACTCAAAAAGTATTTAGACAAAAAAGCAGATTAGTAGCTCTACATTTCATGTAGTGCTAAAAAAGTCGATTTATAATTGGTTAATTTGGGTAATTTTTCGAATTTGCCACTGGGCTGCGAATACTTTCAATCGACCAACTCCACCACCTTCACCCAAATAAAAGCTTGGCTCTAGTCGTTTGCAATGTAAATTTACCGAAAAATATTATTTGATGATGAATTTTCTAAATTTATAGACAGTCGGTTTTTTTGTAATTTTATATGATTTTAAATGATTTTGCGGTGGAAATAGACTTCGAAGAGAGCTTATATTTTGAAATTGTTTATTTATTTCCATGCAGAATATATTTTAATTATAATTTGAATAAATTTTGGTTTACATTTTTACCTAAAAAGTGGATGCAATAAATCATAAATCGGCTTCCCATAGAGCTATCGGAAAAGAAATTCACTTTGATTTTTTCACATCATAAACGATGAAAATCGTTCTTATTTTTGTTTATTTATTTAGTTTAGAATGTTTTCTTATGGATTCACTCCAATTTCGAGAATTTGGAACATTTTGTCCAAAAGTATTCGGCCAAGCCACATAAATTCAATTTTTACGCAGAATGCTGCATAAGAAAGGCACTAGTTTCAAATAAAAAAGATAAATTATTAACATTTCTCGCGATTTCATGTCATTTCTCAAACTGACTCCTATATATCGGACATGATGTGATGATTATGCATGTGTTTATGCGTGTGCCAAGTGCTTGTCACTGATTGGAAACGTCCTTAAACTGAATGCGCAAACTAATGTCATCATCTATTAGTCAATCGAAGTGGAAATCATTGCATAGTACCCACAGAAATGAATGTGTCATGAACAATGTATCCGAATTGAACGAATTCTTATATTTTTTTTATCATTTTCTTATTTTCCAGAGATGGACAACAATTTCAAACAAGGTTTCGAAACTTATTTCTGGAAGCAAACATTAGAAACCAAACCATACAAAGGTTTTTATCAAAGGTTAAATATTTATATAAATTTTGGTACATATATTTAATTCGATTAATTTAACCTTCGTCTGCTCCTCAAAAGAAAATTACGTCAAATATTGATATGTATGTGTTTTCTTCAGATACTAGCGTAAATAAATCAATAACCGCTCAGCTTCTGGAAAATGTCGATGGCACCATTGCCAATGCATTGGATCTTTTGCAACCACATGCAGAAAAATGGACGAATTTTTTTCAATATTTTTTTCTTTACTTTTTTCGTATTTTATCACATATACTATGCAAAGCTTTGCAATTACTTTATTATCTATGCATAGATTTGTGGATTGTAGAATGTATTCAAAGGTGTTGGGAATCCTGTGAATAATATAGAGTTTATCAATAAAATAGTATATCCGCAGAAAAAAATTCATTTGTTTTTGTTTGTTACATGTGTTCTTTTTTTCTGCTGATTATTAACTCTATTTAATGCAATAAGCACACGTGGAAGAGTGTCCATCGCGTGAGAATTTCGATCGATATGTGTACAGCGTGAGCAACGGTAATGGACCAAAGGTACCACCTGTTGAACCGACAACACGACCAAAACCACCGCCACCGAAAAACGATGACGATGAAGATTGGGATCATGTAAGTGAATGCGATCTTTGTTTTTGTTCAATCCTTGGAAATGGCATGAACATCATATTGAAATAAAAGCAATCATTCTGTGGTTGTTGCCGTTTGAAAAATGGCTTGAATTTGCATTAAAGTTTTCATTTCATTTTACAGTACAATACGCCAACGTACGATCCACAAAAATACGTAATGAATGCGAAGGTTCTGCGCACACCAGGCTTGATGACACAATCCGAACGCCGCAAGTTTGCCGATGCCGAGCGCAAGCGGTTAAGCCAAATCGATCGTCGCCAGTAATGTATCAACTTGCTAGAGGTAATTAGAATGAGATTATAGTGTAAAAG